GTAGGGGAGAAAGGTACCTCACATACAGTCTAGGAAAAGTGAGGAAGAGGGGGGCATACAGACAACCTAGGGAAGGTAGGGAAATGGGGGCTTACAGACAGCCTAGAAAAGGTAGGGAAAGGGGGGATTGAAGACAGCCTAAGTAAGGTAGAGAAAGAAGAGCTTTACATACAACCTGGGAAGGTGGGGAAAGGGAGACTTACAGACAGCCCAAGGGCAGGTCTTGGAGGGACAAATCAAAACGTCTTCTCTTCCCCAACCACCTTCCTAGCTTACAGTTTGGCAGCCCTGCCTGTGTACCTGGGGCCCACTCTTCCTCCAGCAAGAAACCTAGTCATTGCTCGTTTTACCATCTTGGGCTTGCTGTAAGCTCCTGGTGACCTGGCACTCTGCTAAAAGGTACTGGGAAGCAGGGAAGATTGAGGATGGGGGGAATGGGTGATGGATAGGAAGTGCTGCCTTTAAAGCGAAAGTCTCTTTACCAGGGCAGTGGAAATGGTTGTTTCAAGTGCCATGGAAAAGAGTGAGGTAGGTTCTCAGGGCAAACACCTCATCCTAAGTCCTCCTGGTAACAAAGGTTATTCCTCCATAGTGCACAGAAACCAGGGCCCTCAGCTCCCCCTGAAGAGTGAACTAGTCCTCTCAACTTGTAGTCACCCACAGGTGTCCCCTCACATACCCCCGGCGTGAGCATGGCCTTCTGGCTCAGCCTCAGAACCACTTCCCAACCTTTCTTCTTTGTGTCCTCATATGCCACAACCAGTCTTCTCCCAGAACCACCCTAAGTGCCGAGGTACTTTGATTAGTCTCATTCACACAATATACATCAGAATGCTTTCTGAGCCCCAAAGGGGTCTCTAGTTTGACCTTTGATAGAGTATTAGAATAGATCTTGGCAAGTACCTGCTGATGCTGGCTTATACCACACAATCTCCCACTCTGCGCTTAGTTTCCTGCAGTGACTAGCCGAGCTCAGAAAAGGGAAGTTAAGCTTTGCATCAAACAATTATGCCAGATCCCTCTGGTCATTTGGGACTGTCAGAGGCACATAGTGTTTCTGAAGGAGTCTTGTTTATAAATGCAAGGATCACTCTGTAGGAACACCATGAATCTCAAAGTGATTTTCAGTTGTTGATTGCCTTAGGGTGGTCATGAATCCAGTGGTTCAGAGCCATGAAAAGCTTCAGTAAGCTAGGCTCCAGATTCCTACTTCCAAGCTTACAGACAGGAAATTCCTGTTTTAAAAAGATGAGCCTCATTCCAGATACCCATGAACAATGGGGACAGGATTTCTTCATGGGAAGTTTCTCCTCATGACACAATTAGGCCCATCCCATACTTGCCCATTGCATGTTCCTGAAACCTCCTTTGGGGTAGACCTGAAGAGGTAACAGCTTTAGCTCTCAATGTCTATCCTCCCAAGCATGGAGGATACAGTAAGCACCTTGAATAGAGTATTGGAGTGACAAATTCTCCCTTTCACCAAACTTGACCTAACTATCTTCCCAGGTATCCTGTCCCTCTTTCCATCTGGGTCCAGCTGAGGGGAGGGTTCACGTAGATGGAAACAGCTCCCCTCCTATGTGGAGAGCAAAAGAAAATAAAGCATTGGTAGCAAGCTCCCGCCCAATCCTTGCTTGTATCTAGAACCCTCCAGTATTCCTGAAGAGGGAGGGTCCTGTGGTGTTGTTTGAAAGTGCTGGATTTAGAATAAGATCTAGTTGAATCCATGGCTTCCCACTTTTACCACATCATCCCATGTCTTCCAAAGCTCAGTTTTCTCATTTGTAAAATTGGGCTGACCTGAACTTGTCTTCCTCAATGGCCCCCACAATGTGCCTGACACGAAAGAGAAGTCTGTCTTCTTGCTCCTTCAGCACCATGAAGAGCAAAACCACTATTTATATGTGGGAGCCCCACCCCTGATAGTTATTTGTGGATCTCCTCCAACTCACAACCCAACTCCGGATTTCAGATAATACCAACTGCGTATGGAGAGTATGACTGGCATGGCCCTGTGACACACTAGGAATAACTGGTTTACCCAGCACTGGACATCTATTAAGGGCAAGGAGAGACTACTAAGCCAGGGTATCTAAAATGTCTAATCTCTGTCTTCAAAGTGAGTGTGTTAGTCACTTGGTTCTATGCTTACAGGCGTCCATCCCCAAGATGCCCCAAAACCTGAGACCAAGAGTAATGGTTTATTGAGTCATGTGGTAATGGTGGGTTGTTAAAAAAGGGGTGAGGGGTCAAGGAGAAAAGCCCACATAGTAGGGAGACAATTCAGAGGCCAAAGTCTGGGGGATGGAAAGAAGGAAGCTTGACCCAAACAGAGCTTCATTTACGGTATTTACAGTGAGATTGGGGGGGGGGGGAGCTGAGGAGCCAGGAATCTTGTTGCTGGCTTCTTCGGTGGCTGTGTGGGCTGAAGCTGCAGAAAGCACACTTGAGTTGGCAGGGCTGTTGAGAAGAGGACGTGGTCCCAGCTGTCATGTCTTGCTGTGCTCCGTGTAGAGCCTCACTGCCCTTCCCAGAGGACAGGTTCATGCTGCCAAAGGGATGACCCGCTGGATGAGAGGCTAGAGGGTGCTTGTAGGCTCACAGCAACAGGGAAGGGAAGGTCAGCTGACAGCCCCAGAAAGTTGCTGCCCAGAAGGTGGTTGAGGCTAAACATGGTAACAACTCCTGGAATGGTTGATAGGTAGAGCCTTGGCCCTGGACTATGACTGTGGGCTAGAGGACTTGCTTACTGTCCATAATTGCTGAAGTTGTACTGATGAAGATCACACAGGCGGCCCTTGAACACCCTCAGACACGTCTGCCTCTAAGTTCTTTGTGAACCCTTTTTCTCTCCTTTGGTGGGTACCAGCCTGGGTATAAGCCTCCTCTAATTTTGTCTCTTTTTGAAATGGGATGGTTCTTGTTTCCTGGAACTCCTGTCACTCACAAAAGGAATCTTGAAGGACAGTTTGGCCTTCTCCAAGGTCATCCTGACTTTCATGGTTCATTTAATTGACCACACAGGGAGTGCTGGAATTGTGGTTATTTTTCATGTAATAAATAAAGATTCCTTTGTGTGACTCTCTGGGGCCTGTCTCAGGCCAAGTCCTCCTGTTGCCTGGCTGTTCCCACTGTCCCCATGACAACTACAGATGGTCAAAGGCTGTGGCAGAGGTGGGTGGTGCACTTGGCCTTGTTGTAGAGCTGTAATAATATGGGGAACCTGGACATTAAAACAACAACATCCTGGTCAGAGGGGAAGTTATGCTGTAGCGTTCCTCTACATCTGCTGACCTTTAAGACAGCACACGTTAATCATTTACCCCCAGCCCATCTGATCCTCAAAGATTAACTCCTCTCCCACCTTTCCTCCTCTGGCTTCACCTTTGAGTTTCTAGCCTGAAAATGATGGCTTCCTGTCCCCTACTCCTCATAACCGCTTTGACCTTCAACACTCTTGCTTCAAGGAGTAGGCAACAGAGAACAGTTATATGTGAAACCTCACTGGGATGCTTGCTAACCTTGCCTAAATAATGGCAGGTCAGAACATCATCTTCTGAACACCCAAAAGAATTGTACTCCTGGCCAGCCCAAGATGTTTTAGGCTTGAGGGACTCCCACCAAACTCACCAGGAAAGTCCACTTAACCCCAGCAATTTCATTGTCTTTGCCCTTTCTGGCTAAACTTGGAGTTGAACACATCAGTCTGGGAAATGAATGTATCTGGCTAAAACAGCACAAGTAATTCCCCTCATTTCTAAGATATAGGACAATAGGAAAAGGGATTTTAGGAAATGGGTGGTCCAGCCAGTTTGCCAACATGTCTGTGAAACTGGACATCTTTGAGACCACTGCTTCTCTCTGGTTCAGGTTTGCTCTGACAATTGATAGGGCAACCACTTGAGAAGACTCTGGAAGAATTTCATAAGGTCTTTGTGGACTTATTTTCCTCAAAATCTTCCCTAAACAGTTCAGGGACACAAAGCAGGACAGGGGTGAAAAAGCAGTCTGAAAGCTTACTGCGACTCACCTTCCAGATATCCACCCTGAATACTATTCACTTCTCAAGCCAAATATAAAGAACTGGATGGAACAAAGTTTGGTGGTGACTCATGACTATTCTCAACATATTTAGATGACTAATGAACAAGATGGCATCTTGGCCTCAGCTCCCAGGAAGGAGAGCAGCAGGCGATGTGCAGAGAACTGAATCGTGTCTCCTGGCAGGACTATAAGCCCCTGCAGGCAGGACAGCCTCCCTCGGGCTTTGCCTGAGTGTAACTTTGCCCTTCTCTACCCTTGCTTTTCAAGGCTTGATTCTTAAACTTTACACAAAATGTTAACAAATATGGCTGTGGAAAGGAGAGATACAAAAGCTGAAGAATGTTTGGCCTTCTGTTCTGTCCCCTAAACCCAGCAGATACTGTGATCTGCTGATTACTTTTTCTATGACAAACAATTGCCATTTCTCTAGACATTCCATCTAAACTGGAGCCACCCAACTCTTTGGTCTGGCTTCTTTCTCCACCCCAACCCTCCTCTGCCCATCAGAGGGCCTGGACAACCCCAGGAACTTACTCAGCAGGCTGGAGTTGGGAAAGCGCCAGGCTTCGCTGTAGGAGGAATACGGGGTGTGGCTATAGGCATTGCCAGAATATTCACTTCCTGTTGGAACACACAGGCAAGAGACCTGTGAGGTTCATGATACCAGTATGGGGACTGGGACAGGGAGACAGGTCTGTAGGGCTGGCAGGGATTGGCACTGGACAAGGCAAGTAAAACCTTAACAGGGACAGTGGCACTGAGGAGGTCCCCAAGTATGGGTCACTTTGGGTAGCTCCTTCATATACCCCCCAAATCCCTGGGAGGTAGATGTCATATTCTCCATTTTCCAGATGAATAAAGTGAGACTTCAGAAACCCACACAAGTTGAAAATCTGATGTAGCGTGGAAATTGCCAAAACTCGAGGAGTCAGATTCAAATTCGATTTTCTCAGCTACCTGGACTTTGTACGGAAGTGACTTTTCAGAGGAGCCCATGGCAGGAAGAGGAGTCTTGTGATCAAAGAGGAAATCTGTTCTCAGAAGAACTGTGCCCTTGCTTTAGGTAAGTTCAGTGCATGAATTTACACAAGGTATGTCAGGCTACCTCTTTCTGTGAGCTGATCCTTAGTTTTCCCAAAAGAATTGTCAAAGAATTTACTGAAAAATTCCTTTATACAACAGCAATGAAGTAGAAGTTGAGCTGACTACTACACCTATCATTTGTTGTGTAATTTAGAGCTTGCAAAGCATGTTTCTGCAAATCATGCCCTCTACATCTCTCCCAACCATCCTATAAAGTGGTCTCCCACACCACCAATTTGCAAAATGGGAAACTCAAGTGAAGCCTGAGTAAGTGATTTGTCTCCACTTACACTGTTGACCAATGATGGTGCATGACCTTAACCTTAGAACTCATGATCATAAATTCCAGGTAATTCCTTCAAACATTTACCAGATGACTTCATTTACAGATACAGCCAGATTCTAGGCAAATTTAATATTCAAAAGTATGTTTACACAGTCTTCTGCCAACTATGATTGTGATGCTAAGTCCTTTCTATGATTTTTTTCACCTCCTTCCGACTTTGGAGTGAAGGTTTAAAACTCCTCAGCTCTGCAATTCACTGGTCTGAAGTCCAGTCTCCATCTTCTACTTCTAGGCTTGGATATAATCTGTCTCTGTGTCTCTCTGTATCTCTCTGTCTCTGTCTGTTTCTCTCTCTCTCCCTCCCCCTCCCACTCTCTCTCTGTCTCTCTCTCTCTCCATGTGTGAGCCTCAGTGTCCTTGGCTATTAAATGGGGCAAACTCTTGTCCCTATCTCATGGGATTTTGGGGAGAATTAAACGAAATGGTGAGTATTATATGCTTAGAGTCATGCTCTTGATAAAAGCAACATCAATAAAGGTTGGCTTCTCCTTATATTCTCCTGAAACAGATGCTTTTAAAAAACTTCAGAGGATACTCAGATCAGTCACACAGTAAATCTTAAAGCATGGGCTGGACTTTAAGGCAGGAATCCCTATTGAGGGATGTTCATTGTATAGGAGGGATGGAAGCCGGAGAAGAGCCTTGGGAAGGGAAAGGTTGCTGAACCCTCTATGTGTCTAGGGGTTTCATACCAGGCAGCAAGCTCACAGTGTTTGGGTTAGGGACAGATCTGGAAGAAAATACATGTATAAGAAGAAAGGGGGTTGGGAAGGAGAGAAGAAAACTAAGAAATTATCTAATCTAACTATTTACTAATGAATGAAGAAACTTCTTATATTTTTGGTTGTGAGCCTAGCCTTTAATGGCTGAGCCATCTCTCCAGCCCAAATGAAGAAACTTCTATGCAGAAGTCCTCAAGGCTTTTTGCCAATGCCACAATGCTAAAGAGCCTCCTGGTTACCATGACCCTCTACCAGTGTTTGCTTCTATAGCCTACAGTGGGAAGTAAGCCTATTTACTATTGCTGTGCTCTCACTTCCCTGGTTTCAGCATTCCCTTGGAGGAGGCCAATTCTGTTCTGGCTTTACAGTGAGGGCTCCCATCCTGTGCTCTTACTCTGGCCTCCAAATGCTGAACATTGGCATCTCTAAAGGACAAGGAAAAGAGCTGAGGAATTCAGTGTGTGAGCCCTCCCTTTGTGTCACTCATTAATGCATTCACTCACTCGGCACAATATACACTACATGACTACCTCAGTCACTGGGAAGCTGGGATAGAGGTTGCATCTGGGTAGATGGTACATCTTGGAGTGTGGCATCTGTGTGCTACCATATCTGTCAACCTATGTATAGCCACAGGTAATGAAATGTCACTGCCAGTTCCCCTTTGCTCTTATATCAGATGCTACTAGCCTCTTTCTCTGTCTCAGGGTTTCTGCCCTCACTTCATAATCTATTCTAATCAGGCTAGTGCCAATCTATGCAAAGTGTCTTAGAATCAGATCTGATAATTCCAATGATGGCTTCAACAGCAGCAATTCCCTTGGCCTCCTAGTCCCTAACTTCCTTTGGAATCTGTGTCACTCAGTCACCCGAATTTCTTTGCAACTTGCCTGCTTTTTTCTACATACTCTCTTCTGGCCCCTTCTTTACCAGAACTCCAAATCATGTAGAAGAATCAACCCCAACTTCATTTTAAAGCCTATCTGAGATATGAAGCTTGGTATTTAGTTAACCCTCTCAACTCTGTTATGGCCTCTGAACTCTTGATTTCTACTATACCGCTTCTCCTGCCGCCCCACAGGGATTCTCACCATCACTGATGATGTTTCCCAAGCCCAGTCTATAGTTTTGCCTTTATTTCTCATCTCTATAGTCAGGTTTTGTTCCACTTATCACAAAAACATATTAAGTGCCTTTCCTATCCTTCAGGGCTACTTTCTTAGCTAAAGCAACTGTTGTCTCCTACAAAAAACCTACAGCAATGATCCCCTAACTTATCTCTGTGTCTACACTCTATTTCTCCAAGCATCTGAGTAGTGTTCTAAAACATGGCCTTACTGCCGCCCAGTTTTCCCCACACTGCAGTGCTCGCTCTAGTATCCACTACTCTTTACCATGCTTGCCTTCTTTACATATACTGTCATGCTAAATTAGCTTTTCCTGCCTCAGGGCCTTTGTACTTGGTCTTCTTTTGGGCTAGGGATGGTCAGCCTCAGTTTATCACTTGGCTGACCACTTTGAAAATCTTTTCAGAAAGGTTTCCTGTATGTTCAATCTAAAGTAGTTATCTCCTCTCCCTGTAGCTCTTCATTGCATCACCACATTTTATTGCCTTTGCATAGTTATCTTTATGTGATATTATGTTTATTCATTCATTGACCAACACTGCTTATTCTTGTCCATTATGACAAACAGAGGGACATGCTTTGTGCATTTCTGCAGGCACAGTAGATATTTGTAATATTTGTTAATTGAAAAGCGTTCAAGGTTGGATAGAATATGGTTAATAGAAGTGTTAGCAATGAGAAAGTAGATGCTGGGAAGATGGCTGGAGAAGGGTAAAGTACAGATATACTAGAAGGAGTAAGAGGTATGCATGCTTGGATAGATAGGTGGATGAAAGGACTGATGGGGAGGAAATGCATGGAATGACTTATATGTATATATAAAGGCAGATGAATAAAATAAGCGGAAGGAAGGATAGAAAAAAGATAGTTGGATAAAAAGAGAAAATGAAAGGGTGGAAGAAAGCATGAATAGATGGAAAATGACACAGATGTTAAATCAATAAATTTGTGTTTGAAAAGCATAGTCGCTTAGCTTCATCCCTGAGCACACCTTTTGGCTCTTGTAAACCTTGCTTTCCCTAACTGTAAAACTTGGATTCTACCAGTCTCCAAGATTTATTGTAAGGACTAAAGAAAAATAAAGTTATGCATATAAATGGCCAGGTATACAGAAATGTATAATAAATTACCACTTATTCCTTTAAAAACTGATTAAAGAATGTAGCTGACATGTCTTTTCTGAAGCCCTTATTATCTGCTTTACATATAGGCAGTAGATGCTAATGACTTAACTGACTGTAATGGAAAGAATTCCCACTCAGTCAACTGAGAGATCATAGGCAGTAGTAAGATATGGGTAGGATGTTATTTTTCTACAAAAGACATTCCTTCAGAAGTCATTTGCACAAAAGCACTCTTAGGAACCAGGTGATTCATTTTAATGGCCTTGCATTTCCTGAAAACTAGTATATACAAAACTTACGGAAACCCAACGACTGTGTATGATGAGACCCTTCCCTTTTGCAATTTACTTAGTCTATGTGGTTGGTGTTGTGAGTGCTCATGTGCGTATATGTCTGTTTACAGGTATGTGTGTGTACATGCATACACACACTGTAAATGTATGCTTGTGTGTGAAAAAGTACTTCTTCATAGCAAGGTGAGGTCTTCCTCAAGCAATCCTTCCCTTGCCTTCCAGCCACATTCCAGGTCATATTCTGGCCCCAGGAACCCCTTGATCTGGTCCTGGCCCTAAAAATCATTCATAATTAAGAGAGAGAGAGAGAAAAAAAAAAGTCATGTCTTATGTTGCTTCCTTCTCCTCTAAGCAGCAGCAGGGAAAGTAGAGGGCTTGGGGGGGGGGCGGGTGGGCAGAGGAAGCAGACTGGAACCTAGGATTTTGATTGAGAGACCCCATTATCCACACTCAAAAAAATAACTGAATCTTTTCCTTTTTTATCTTGACCAATCTCATTTCACGCTCCACAAGAGGGAGACAGGGAGGGAGAGAGGAAGCCTGGGCCAGGAGGGAGAGAGGAGTCAGTATTCTGTATTTTCAACGCTGCATTAAGCACATCGCCACGGTAACCGGGCAGCAACAAGTGCCAGCTCAGCAGGTTCCCAGGGAGCAAAGCCTCCACTCCTTGCTCCCTCCTCTCTCTCAGCCTAAGAGAACTCAGCCCACCTGCCTGTGCACAGGGTGCCCAGAGTGGGTGGGTGGCTGGCTGGCAAAGATTAACCCCTGCCAAGGGGAAGCAGGCTTGGTGGACTAGGGCCAAATCTTTAGGGTCAGAGCCAGGGAAGTTGGAAGAGGGTGGGTATTAGGGGTCACACATGGCCTGAGTTCAGAGCCCTTCCCTAAACCTTCATGCCCTTATTCCTTGGGCAGAGGAAATGGTTCTGTTCTAACCATCTATCCATCCCTGAAGCTTTCCTACAGTGCTCCTAAAAGACTGGGACTTTCCCAAAGAAACTGTCATTGCTCTACTCATTTGTCCAGACCCTGAAATCCTGAGTCATCATTAGATCACAGTGGCAGACAGACATCAAATGGACCGCCAAACAAAATTCCAGGACAATCCACTCATTCCAAATGAGTGTGAAGAAGGACTGTTATCTCATACTCTGTGGTATCCTCAAAGTAGTTAGAACCTGGGCCCTATTCATCACTGAGTGAGTGTGGAATGCAAAGGAATATGTATTTCATCATCATCATGTTCACTATCACCACCATCATCTTCACCATCATTATCATTCAAATTCAGGTTTTACTGAAGAGGTAAACTGAGATTCATCTGATTTGATGTAAACCACATGAAGCCAGGGGTTGGCTCATGTTTATCTC